AGTCATTCTTTAAAAGTAACCTAGTTGTTCAGTGAGAAATTTTTCCGCCAAGACTTTTAAGTGCCCGTACTTAAGAACCACGCGTACCTCAAACTAAATCTGAAATACTTAATTTGTACTTGGGCAGGAAACACTCCCCAAAATTTCAGACTTCCAGCTTTCCTGGTTACAGAGTTAGCAATTTTCCCGCCCAAACCTACACACCCGCACGTGGGCACTCCACTTGCCTGGAAAGCTGAATTTGAAATACTTAAATTGCATTTGGACAGGGAACACACCCTTAAAATTTCAGCCCTCCAGCTCTTCTGGTTGCTGAGTTAGTTATTTTCCTGCAGAAACTTTCATCCGCCCTTACGTGAGTACTGCGCAGAGCTTGGGGCTGATTTTTATGCGTTTTGTGCTGTGTAACAGCAGTACAAAACGCATACTGTCACGGGGTTGTCTGTGTGTGTGCCCGCAGCAACTTGTCCGCAACTTTCAACTTGGGAACCACAAAAGCTAGGAAGCTGAAAATTTAGGGGAACGCCCCCACCCACGAGTGACCCCGCAAATTTAAATTCAGCTTCTTCGTACCCGCGGGAAATGCGTACGGCTCCGTGAAAGTTTTCTACGGGTAAATTAATGTCTCGGGAACCGCGGAGTCTAGGAAGCTGAAATTTTAAGGTAATGACCCACTGCCTACGCTCGACCTTGTCCATTCAAATTCAGCTTCCCCGTATCCGCGAGTAACACTTATGGCCCCGTGAAAGTTTTTTACGGGTAAATTAATGTCTCGGGAACCACGGGGTTTTGGGGGCTGAAATTTTAGGGTAATGACCCCCTGCCCACGCTCAACCTTGTCTATTCAAATTCAGCGTTCTCGTGTTCTTGAATATTACCTACAGCCTCGTGAAAATTTTGGCGGGTAAACTATTAATTCAGGATAAAGATATTCACCCTTCAAGGTTTTGAATTCAGCTTTCATGCACTGGTTTGTGAAATTTTTCACTGTTTTTCAATGTTTGAACTATTTTTGCACAGACTAAAGTACAAAGCAGTGAAAATCATTAATAGGCTGAATGGGCTGAATTGCACAAAACGCATGATCGTACCGTCTGGTGCGCGTTTCTGTTTATTAAATATTTGATCTGTACCTGAATAGGGAATATTCCCCCCAAAATTTCAGCTTTCTAGCTTTCCAGGTGCTCGAGTTAGCAATTTTCTTCCTGAAACTTCCATACGCCCTTACGTAATTACCACGCAAACCCGGGGGAGACACACACACAGCCTCTTCCCAATATGCGTTTTTGCAATTTGCATATATGCAAAAACGCATATTGCAACGACTCTGTCTGTGTGTGTGTTCATCTGTCCAGCTTTTTCAACTCGGCAGCTAAACAAGTTCTAGCGCCAAGATTTTTCTAGTGGCTTCCCCGGCCAAGTACTACCCCAAAACCGCGGTACCAACCCCCATACAAGTCTGGGCCCCGCGTATGAAAGGGTGAAAGTTTTGGCGGGAAAATTGGTAGCTCGGGAAAGAGGAAAGACAGAAGGCTGAAATTTTGAGGTTATTTTCCCCGTCTAGATATAACTCAAAGATTTCAAATTCAGCCCCCGGGTTTGCATGGTTCCCGCGTACAGCCCCATGAGGGCTCCTGGCGCGAAAATCGCTAGCTTGGGAACCAGGAAAGCTAGGAGGCTGAAATTTTCAAAGAATGTTCTCTGCATAGGTACAACATAAGTCTATCAAATTCAGCCTCCAGTCCTATGTTGTTCTCACATACGGCCCCGTGTAAATTTTGGGCGCGAAAATCGCTAAATTGGGAACCAAGAAAGCTGAGAGGCTTAAATTATCAATGTTCCCAGCCCATGTACGACTTAAAATTATGAAATTCAGCCACCAGGCATGCGCGGCTCTCATGTACGGCACCGTGTAAATTTTGGGTTCGAAAATTGCTAACTTTGGAACCAGGAAAGCTGGGAGTCTGAAATCTTCAATAGACATTCCCAACCCACTTCTTAAAATTATCAAATTCAGTTCCCAGGCGCGATTCTTACGTATAGAAACTTTTCTGGCGGGAAAGTGGCCAACTCGGGAACCAGGAAAGCTGGCAAGCTGAAATTTTAAAGGGGTTTTCCCAGCCTAAATACAACTTAAAAATTCCAGACCCAGCCCCCGGGTATTTTCCAGATCACGCGTGGCCCTGTGAAAGTTTTAGCGGGGAAATTACTAACTCGGGAACCAGAAAAGCAGCTGAGATTTTTGGAGAATATTCCCCGTCCAAATACATCTCAAAGCTTTCGAATTCAGCCTCTATTTATGCGTGGTTCTCGTGCTCGGACATTTAAATTTTTGGCGAGAAAATTACTCATTGAACAACTGGTCATTTTCAAAAAATGATCGCTAAACAGAAGTTGCTTATTTCCTTTTGTGCAACATTTACGATAATTTGCGGTATTGAGCGCACAAGATAGGTGTGAAGAAATGACCGTTCATGCACTTAACCTAATTACTTTAAATTTTTATATACCTCTCTTAACAGTACGTTATTCTGTCGGTCTTGTTTCTGTGCTAAAAACATCTGGGTCTGAATTTCAGTGTCTCAGCGCAATTCAACACCTACTAGTTGACATTTTTCACGCTACTTCTAATGAATTTAGTAATTCAGTACGGTAGAATTTAAAGTCTTCATTTTAAATTCAGCTTTTTTTCTAACTTACTCCTTTTTCTCAAAACCGCATAGATAATTTGATATTCCTGTTGTACTTTTAGAACAAAATTATTTAACCCTCTCGCGTATTTTTTCATTGAGACCAGTGACATCTCAATGAAGTTAACCTCTTTGTCGAAATAACCAAATTCGTAATAGCGCGAGAAGCGTCGCGGATCAACGTCAAAACGTTGAGGAATATGAAAGCGCTTTAGTACGTTTTGAAGATCGTAAGACCCTGGATTTGTTGACCGCCGTTTTGTGTTCAGAAACGACCACACATATGAGCCAACTGAAAAGAGCATTTTCCAAAAAAAATTATAAATTTGTGGCGGACAGCTCTATATGAAAACGTTAATGCGTGACAGTTTTAATAAGAACCGACCTTGGTTAATAGTCTCATTACGGAGAGCGTCCACGATATTTTGCACTATGTCATCGCTTGGACACTGCATGAGCTGCCGAAATGATTCTATTCGAACTTCAACATCCTCCTGTAAAACGGACTGCTTCTTTTTTTTTTCGAAAATCATGGAATGTTGAGCATCTAAAAGCGTCGGTGACTTTCTGTGAAATTTGGCAAGACGTTAGCCAAGTGAAATTGCGCACTGTAATTGCTACTTCCATCACTCAGGGACACAGAACGTATAGTGCCAATTCACTTCTGTTTTTCTTGGGGAATACTAAATAATGAGCCAGGTAGCAATACGCACCAGGGTTTTCAGTGCGATCATGCGCTTTTTCTTGGATCATGCAGCAGACCGATTGTTGATAGTACGAATGGCAGTTGCTTTATAGTTTAACACGTACACTGATGTTGACAATGATTTGATCTTTTACTGTATGTGGTGGGAAAAAGGAGTCGGCTAACAGGTGGGAGGTAATGTAGCATTTTGAAGTCGCGTGAAATCCCACCCTCCAGAGTGCATGATTACTGTAAAGAAAGGTTTTTGCATCCTCAGTTTTGCCATATCCATATGCAAGATGAAGCTGATTTTACATGTTTACTTTAAATTTTATTTTAATTTTACATTTTATTTTACGTTTCTAATTATGCGTTTTTGCCTATATGCAAATTGCAAAAACGCATGTCTATGTGTGTATGTATGTGTGTGTATGTTTGTGTGTGCGTGTGTGTGTTCGTCTGTCCGGGTATTTCAACTCGGCAACCATGCAAGTTCCAGCGTCGAGATTTTGCTAATGGGTACCCCGACTAAGTACCACCCCAGAACCGCGGTACCACCCCTCGCGCACGTTTGGGCCCCACGTACGGGAGGGAGAAAGTTTCGGCGGGAAAATTGATAACTCGGGAACGAGAAAAGATAGAAGGCTGAAACTTTGGGAATATGTGCCCATACCATGCGCGACCCTCCCATTTCAATCCCCTGCGGACGCCTGGGCGCCCTGTACGAGCTAAGGGGCTGAAACTTTGTAGGGAAATTCCG